TATATTTTTTTATTATGTCATAACTTAGTACTTTTGTACTTAAATACATGTCACATATTTAACATAATGTAACATTAAGCTGTCTGTGGCTCTTTTCCCTGCTGTAACTACGCACATTTCCCCTCCGTGGGACTAATAAAGGTATTGTGATTCTGACCCCATCTCTGTCTCAGCTATTCTGTTGTGGAGAATGTTTTCTTACCTGTTCTCTGTACTGGTCTGCATGTCTCCTCTCGTCCTCCGACTGCATCATCACCTCCTTCAGTTTCTTCTCTGTCTTTCGCACCAGTTTGTTGGCAATGGCTCGTTCCCTGAGAAAAAGAAAAATTCATTATAGGATATCTGTCGCACAAAGCAATTCAAGATCGTGGAAAAACATTACCATCTAATTATGTCTAAGGGTCATTCTGCTGGTTGAGGGCGAAAGCTTACATTTTTAGTTAGAACTATTGTACATAGCTGACCGGCCCTGAAATTGGTCATTTCAAAGTGTTTAATTCAATGTAAGTTGTCTAAAATCATCAGGGAGTTGCAATGGACGTGGACCACCTTTCCCTACTACCCTAATGGCCCCTTATCATTATTAATATTATTATAATTTGATTTGAATGATTTGTTTAAGTTTCTTCTTGAAAACAACATAAAATAAAAGAAGAGTATTTCTTCCCAATGTCTCATCTTTTATCTGTACTAAGGCACATGTGTGCTTCTCTCACTGTCTCTCCTGCTCCAGCTGCTCCTCCATGGAGTCGATCTTGGCCTCCAGGGCGGCTTGGCCGAGTCGGTGTTTCCCCCTCACGGCTCCCTCCATCTCCCCCAGCCGGCTCTTCAGCTCCTTGTTCTGCCTCTCCAGGTGCTCCCGAGCCGCCTCTGCTTTCTGGGCCAGAGTCCTCTCTCCCTGCAGCTGCACCGTCATAGTCTCCACCTGGACCACGAGCAAGGTTTATTTATATAGCACTTTTCAGCACGCGACAATTCAAAGTGCTTTACAAAACAAATGAAAAGACTTTTTAGGAATAAATACAGTAAAAACACACTATAATGGCATTTTACAACAGGCATTACAAAGCAAAGATAATAAAATAAACACAACAGGTATACAATACATGTTTAAATGGCATACTGTAGTGCGAATACGA